GTATTTTGGGTATATTCATGTTCCATTTCAAGTATATTTGACCTAAACAACCTGAACATATCATGATCCAATAGCAATATAACATTCAATATTAGTTTACCTAATTCAACAAATTCAGACTCACATGTTGGTGCTTTCCAATATTTTCTTTACATAATTTTTTTTTTTTTAATTAGGCTCTTATAGAGCTGGTTATAATAATGTTTGTTCCCTAACAGCTAACCACCCACACTATGGACGGTTTAAAACAGTGTCTTAGGTTATTTAAGTAATTTTTTTTTTCATCAATGATCTTCTTTTTATAAATTCGATGATGATGATGGATTAATCCTTCAAAACATGGCCTTTTGTCCATGACCCTTGGTCATTAATAAATTGTTTGTGTGGAGGAGTTGTGACTGTAAGTCCTCTCACCCCTCCTGATTTATATCACCACCATCACTCTCAGTAATGGATCACCTATAAGTTGGTTATAATAATAATCATTAATTCCAAGTTTTAGTGATTAGAAATAGTGAATATTCAAGAACACCATTGTATTAGTCAAGCTAGAATTTTTGATTCTTCAGTAAGACCACTTTTATTTGTAGTATAACTGGGTAATCTGATCAAAACAGATGTTTTAATATTAATGTACAGATTTTAATATTGACCAATTAAAAAATACTCAAATGAGATTGAAGGGTTTCATATATTTGTGTGCTAGATCCATTTCTCTAGATTTTTTGAGATTCTCCTTTTTTCTATAAACAAAATTATGAATATTTTTCAATATATTCATAGAGAGACAAATCAGATGATTTGTCCCAAATTGTGTTGCTGAAAATTTCACTGGGGAATACCCAAAAAAGAAATGCCCTAGAAATAGTCAGTGACACCTTGTTTGAAAATATATGTGAGCAAATATATAAGAAAAATATTATATTTTTACTTTTGATGTACTGGGAACGAATCTGCTCACATTCTCAACAATACTGAGATGTGCCAACTGACAGAACACTGAGAAACTGTGCGAGAAGAATTCCTGTACTACTGTACTTTCAGTGACCAAAAAAGTTTTTGGGTGACCTGGTAACTATTTGGGAGAGATAATATTTTAACTTATCTATACATTTTTCCAAGATGGATCCTTTAGTACAATACAAAAAACTACATCAAATTTGAAAGAATAATCTACAGGGTGTCTTAACTATTGAGAAAAAAATATGCTGATAGGATCTTATATGCCTCCATAAAATATTGCTGTGGAAAAAGATGCTGGGCGTTTCATTCACTGAGAAGAAATGTTATTTACCAGCAACAATTATATGACAGTCCAAAGCACACAATTCATGAATGAAATAATATTTAAAATCCCTTTTCCAGACTTCATACTTTTCAATTGTGTTTTTCTCGAAAACGTATGAAAATACTGTTGTCAAACAGGAGTACCAATATTACATAGAAATGATATTTATGTCATATTTTTTATTCAAAATCACTAGGAAGTTTCGTCAAAAAAAGGAATAATTCACGTGGCGCCCTGCAACAAACATTGTACAGTCACAGCATATTATCCTTACTCTTACAGTGGTACAGTGGAATCATTAGCAGAAGAACTTGAAAAAATAATCAATTTCAACGCCCTGTATCTTTTTCCACATCAACATTTTATCAGGGCATATTCGTTCCTATCACCATATTTTGTTCCAAACAATCCGCTCTCAGCCTATGTCCCAATAGTTATGACTCACCCGGTATACAGAACCATTATTGTTATAAAAATATTTATTTTTTGTGTAACACTTGCAATAAGTATACTTGTTGCACTGCATGTATAGATTCATACTTTCTGCAATATACACTTTTTGCACTATTTAATCAAATAACTATTCTGTAACTGATATTGTTATTCTTTTTGTGATTATTTAAAATTTTTATTGATGAAGGCTCAGGCCATAGCCTATAATACTCTTGTGATTACTGTGTTTTTAAGAGAAGACTTGAATAAAAAAACGGCGAATAAAATGAATTTTTATCCAGTCTCCAGAATTTCAATCAAGCTCAGAGCATTTTTTTGTCTATAATCGAAGCTTCCATTCTTCAAGGACTCAGTCTCAGAACTACATCATATCATTATGTAATGATGATCTTTATAATTTTGTCTCATCATAGTCTTTTTCTGCTTAAATGAACTTGGTAAATCTTAATAAATGTTCTGAATTTTTATCACCAAAGGAAATCATATAGAAAATTCTAAAGCTAGCTTGGTTTACTGCAATAATAAAGATGAAATTATGTGAGTATACATACACAACCAATATTACCTATGTCCTATCTTGAAATTTATTTGGACTTATGGTGAACATTTGGATTATAAAAGATGCCTCTTTAGTTAAATGCTAGCATGACTTCTTGAGACCAGAACAGAATAATCAAACACCTCTTAACTAAAAAACCTATTTCATCCATCACAAGACTATACTCATTCCCATATATAATGAAAATGTTCATACCAATATAGCTACATCCAAGTTTTCAAAGTATTCAAGAAAATCTTGAAACTTTTGAAGCTTGAAATTTTCATATAGTTCAAGTAATTTGTTAAAACATTTTCTACAGACCTTTATGTGATACCCTGTACATCAAACATCTTGTTGGTTTCTCTTGAAGAACATCTGAGAATTCAGGAGGGCTAGAGGTATGAAGAGACATAATGATCCTATACCTTTTTTATGGAGGGTGCTTCTGAAAAATGTGAACTATCTGAATTCATCCTGCAAAAATGTGATATCACTCATCTGTCTTAAAATTTCAATAATACTTGTATGGAGAAAGAAACAGTAGGATTATGTATAATAGCTCCAACTAACCCTGTTGATACAAAATCCACAAAACTTACCTAAATATCAAGATTAATTAAAATTAGAGGAATTCTACTTGGAGTACTTGTATTTATTGTTCCAAAAGTATCTACATTATTTATAGCTGCATACATTTTTGTATGTTTGTTGAATGGATCCGAAAATGAATCTACATTAGTCAAGACATTAGTGATAGCGATCAAGGATATCCACAAAAACCATAATGAACAATATTGAAAATTGAAAATGTAACATTTAGCTGACTTTGCCATACTTCCACCTTGACTTTCACCCTCTGAACACTGTTCAATTATTTGAGCATTCACCAATTCAATTTATTTATATTTTAAATAATATATCAAGGTTCTTTAATAATTATAAGTATGGAAAATTATTGGCCTTCCTCATTCACATGGTCTAAAGAATACAGACCATTTATGTATATTATATAAAACAATAATCTCTTAAACTGACCTATTTTTTACAATTCTATTACATGGTGAATATGCCACCATTTTAGTTCACTCATGAAAGACTTCAATTACTTACCTCAAATCAGAGTATTCACAAGGTTTGTGTCCACTACTGAAGAGCACCCTTTCCAAGATGTGAAGTTGTCCCATGATCAGTTTCCGTCAATTTCACAAGGAACAGCATAATACCAAAGAAGATATTCTTTGATAATACATTGTTATTATTCCATATCGTTCAATCATTTCATGAGTGAGTATTCAATGGCACTCAATAGTAGGTAGTTGGTGTTTGATATTTATGATCTCTAGAAATAAAACACCTGAATAATATATGTAGATGTTCAATGACTAATTCAAGAATTGTACCACCAAAAATAAACACAGCAACTAATTACCTTGCAAGGAAAAGATTAATCTTTACAAATTCGTCCGGAGCACAATGATCGTTCATGTCATGGAATTTTGCACCAACTTCAAGCCTCCTAATTTCACCGAGCGGCTGTTCACGACACGTTTACACATGGTTTAAATGCTAATTGCTAATCACAGATGAGGTCTAATCTTCAATCAATAATTATAGGAAATTACAAGTCTAATTAAGGAGTCAGCTAAGACTATCCTAACCTATGATCATAACAAGCAAAGCAAAAGTGCATTTGGCATTGACGCATTGACCACGGAATTACGGCTAAGCCGTCAAGGCAATGTAGGTATCTGTACCAATCTGTCACCAGTGACATCTCTCAATTTCTAGGTTAGCATAAAAACAGTTCAAATTTGTACAATAGATGTCGCGGGATACGGGGAACGAGTAGATTCCTAAACATGATTTCCGCTGTATGGGCAGTCATGATCAGGTCGGCAGCTTACTTGATATTTACTATTTAGCCGTCATTGCCCAGACCAAGGAGAGTATACACCCAGACTGCTCAACTGTTGAAGATTTCGAAAGCATTAAAGTGAGTTCTCACTGCAGCGTTTTTGCTTTAAGCGTCGCGCGTCATGCAACCTGTTTGATGACGCAGAATTTGAAAAATATTTGACGTGATGAAGTTAATAGTTATTTTCGTATCTAGAGCGCAAAATGCTACTTTGGTGATTGATATCTGATTTTTTTAACGAGGCGTAGCCGAGTTGAAAATATAGTCGAGATCGGGTAACTTATCTCAAGCAAGTGGTCTAGCTAGACCAGCGAATCTTCAAACATCGAGGTCAAGTGACGTCACCCACAACACTACAACTTCAACCTGATTTATCCTAAATGAACCTTTTCCCTGAAAAGTATATTTTTGAAAAATTAATTGAGTGGAAAAAATTAGAAAAAAAATTGACGCCTCGCAGGGATTGTTCCCCAGTCCTCAATATAAATAAGTAAGAAATATAATGTACTGTTTGTGACGTCACTTGACCTCGATGTTAGATTCACTGGTCTAGCTAGACGCTTGTCCTGAAATCAGGAACCTCAGATTGTCAGATAGTAGAATGTTTTTCGATTGAAAGAATGAAAGAAATCCAATTTCGATCAATAATTGCTTCATTTTTAAAATCATTGATTCTGGTCAAAATCGTTCTAGGTTTTCAGACGAATCGCTGATACGGTTGTACGGTCAAAACGAATTAACAAGATAGATATCAAGCGATTAGGGTTTTTGTTTTTCGAACTGGTGGAATGGAAATGTTTAATGTTTGTAACATTGATAACGCTACGCCATTTGTAATATTTGCGCGTTTCACATTTGGGAGGTAAAATAATCTTCTATGTTTTTCACTTCTTGTTTCGCATATTACAAATTGTTTGTTGTGTAAAATGAGTTCAAGTATAGATCCAGCTAAATTAAAAGTCGTTGATTTACGCAACGAACTTTCCACCCGAGGATTGGATACGAAGGGAAATAAAGCGGCTTTAGTGAAACGCTTGAAAGATGCCCTGGAAAGTGAATTGGATAAAGGTAAACCAATTCTTAGGTTTTGTTAGATGAAAAAATAGTTTATTTGTTCAACAATAGCTTACTCTAATCCAAGTATAGTTTCCATCTTCAACCCTAACCTGAGATTTGGTCATCAGCTTCAGGTGACCCTGAAGTCTTTATCCAAATCCTAATCTTGGTTTTTTGTTAGAAGAAGAATTGATCTATTTACCAAGTGTAGGTACTTCTTCTCCTAATGAAATCCATATATAGTCACCGGAAAGGTAAAAAGTTTAAATAAACATGATTAGGAAGCCTGTTTTTTTCTTCATCAATTTGCCATTTCATAGCATTCTGGTCATTTGCTTCAGTCACCATGAAATGAGTACCCATAATTTAAAGTATTTGCTTGGATGACAAATTTTCATTTTTCAAAGTATTTGCTTGAATGACAAATTTTCATTTTTCTACTTTATGGTCAGTTCATAGAAACTATTTATATTTGATTCACATTTAATTTATATTTGAGATAATAGTTGAAATATCAGTCTTACATGTAAGCATTCATAGAATCTCACTTACTGCTTTTATTTAATTTATATTTAATTAAGTACTAATAAGATAGCCAACTTCTCATTGCAATCAATTAAATTGATCTGAGCATGTGCCCCTTGTTAAAAAAAACATTGAAAATAAGATAGAAATTATCTCTATGAACTGACCACATAGTGAAATAAGACCTCCAATAAACTATCATTAGTTATTCCTATTTTTTCTTTGGCCATAATTAAGGTTAATTTATTACCTGCTGAATTTATGTTAAAATTGTACTTATCATGGGATTTTTTAAATAGTTTTTGTTCTTATTTATATCTGTCTGAAACACATGAATTTGATAATGAAAATGTGAACAAACTATTATTTATTATGAATTATATCTGTTGAATATCCAAAAAGAGAGAATGACAAATCGAAATCCTCTGAAATTTAAAATTGGCATTATCTCTCAAGTAGAATAGAATAATATGATGTATTACGATTAAGATATAGAAAAATATAACTTACCAATACCTTTTGGTATTGAAATGAAAATTGAAATGTATACATGAACTCTGATCTTGATGGGCTTGGAACTTCCAAAAAAATCATTCTTTCATTATTGAAATGAAAATTGAAATGTATAGGAGAAGTATACTTGTATGAATCATTCTATCAGTGATATGGGAATTATATCTCCCACAAACAGGTTATATGACTTTACTCTAGTAACTCATTTCAGATATCATATCCTCATCATTAACCTGAGCCATTCTTCATGATATTGTAGTGTATTGTCACTAGAGTGGCAACACTACTGGTAGAGGTATCCAGTGGGTGTTGGATAGAAACTGACATTGACATGGAGATTTTTGCTAGTTCTCTCATATGTTATTATTTTGTGACAATGGGCTTATATCACAAACAATTTTTATTTGATAATTCGATAGAACTCACCCAAACTAGCTCACCACCGCAAACCGTTTCTTGCTGTGAGCTCCCTACGTTTTATAAAAAATTATTGAAATCTCTAATTTTTCGGACCTCTGAAAATGACAGAGATGAATGATACATGATTTCTGACAGAGTGAATTAGCGATTATTTCATTCATCTGAAAATTCACGCTTTTGATTGGTTGTAACAGCTGTATTGATAATCGAAAACACTATGTTATCGATTTTGTATTTCGGCACCTGATTGGCTACTTACTGTTTAAGTTTTTGTAGCATGACAGCAGGATATAAATGCTGTCATAATATATTCCTGTTCAGGGAATAAAAACACTACACTTCTATTCAAAACCCAATAGGCACTATCACAATTTGAATTGTCCTCACAATTATTATAAGACAATTCCAAATAATTATTGATTGAGCATGATTCGCATGATATAACCTAAAATAGGAATAATTTTTCAACCACGACTGACGTGACATCTCTACATCTCTCTCTTCTCACTCCCTATGATGTACGCTGCTTTATCCATTCAACGCTTTAATGTATTGTTAGTTGCATAACATCCCTAGTACCTTCGATCGCGAGTGAAGAGGAAGAGTGAATGCGGGATCACGATTGCGGGAAACTCAATTGAGAAGGCTGTGGCCAGTTGTGAAGGAATCAAAGAAAACAAAACTGTTTATATGTTGATAAATATCGTTACTAGGTGTGGTGTATAGCTTGAAAATGGACAGTGAAAATCGTTTCGGTAAATATAGTGTAGAAGAAATAAGAAATGAAGTCAAAGACTTAACGCCTCAAAATACCGTGCGTTCCAAAAAGTATGTTTGGTAACAATTCACAGAATTTTGTGAACAGCGAAATCATCAGCTAAACGAAAATTCATCTGATGAAAGACTTGCCAATATTCTCACAGAATGGGCATTTAATATGTGGAAAACCGATGGCAGTGAGTATAAGGACATGGTAGTGAAAACTATTTGGAATAATACAGCTAAATTACTCCAAGAAAAATACTATCATGAATACAATCGAAAATTTGATCCATTCAAAGATATAACATTTGAAGTTGCTAGAAATGCCAAAAATACTAAAAGAAAACAACTACAAAATATTCCGGAAAAACGAAAAAAGTCATGTGTTTCATTTACATCGGAAGAATTGACACAAATTATCCAAAGTTGGGATGAAAATACTCCAAATGGATTACAAAGGAAACTGTATCATATTATAGCAGTGGAATTAGCTTGGCGGGGCGGTGAAGCATGCCGATGTTTGATTCATTATTTCAAGGAAGAAATAAATAACAAGGGAACACCAACTGGAAGACTGGAATATAACCCTATATTCGCGAAAACCGCACAAGGTGAATCAAAAAATATTGCAGAAAGTAAATGGCTTGTGTCAAATAAAGAAAATCAAGAAAATTGTCCAGTTCGTTTATTCAAGAAACTGATGTCAAAAAGGGGAGAGAACATTAAAACTGATCGACTATTTTTGACAGTTAATATTGGAATAAAGATCATAAAAGTCCTTGGTTTAAAAATATGCCAATGGGTATAAATGAAATAAGTAAATGGACCAAATTGTCAGCTGAAAAGATCGGTTTAGATACAAAAAACGTGAAAATATCAAACCATTCAAACAGATCTACAGCTGTGAGTCAATTGGCAAGTTCTGGAATTGGGGAACAACAGATAATAAAAGTTACTGGGCACAGTAGTTCAATGTCATTGAAACCATATTTACAACTGAGCAAAGAACATCATGCTGATATAATATCAAACCTCAGAAAAGAAGATAATATGGATATATCCACGACGGTTGCATCTAGTAGCAGTAATGATGAATGTCACTATGTCAAAATAAATAATTGCAATAACTGTACATTCAATATAAATATTAACAATAAATAGGTAGTGAAAATGGTTTATTTTTCATTCATGAAATAATCTTGACAAATACAACACGTGTAATTGATGATTATCGAAAATTCCTTCTCTTTTTCGAAACAAATTGTGTTGCTTTTAGGCAAGCAACACAATTTGTTTCTCAAAATCGAAGGAATTTGTGTTTCAATAATCATCAATACACTTGTTGTATTACAAGCGAGAACACAGTTGAAAGAATTGATATATCAATTGCCTCAGTCTCCGTCGGGCGTTTGCTATTTTCTTTTAGGTTTCTACGTCTTGAGAGGGTCCATTTCCAGAAGGTACTATTATTTATGTCCAAAAATAAATCATTCCAGTTAATTTTTCGATCGAATCATGTCGTCAATCATTACTTATGTATGAAAGGATCATTATAAACATGGTTTGAGTTAAAAGTTCTACTAAGGTGTACACGCCCATTAGAGTAGTTAGAAGTGTTATTTGAGGCTATAACAATATACACAATTTTCATCTCCCTATAATATAACTAAAACTATAATGAACTGAAAACTGAGAATTATAATTTGTTGACATAAGCAATGTCGTCGGGCATTTGTTTTTGGATGTATGATAAATTGATATTCTTCATACAGGACATGGAAAGGAATTCTGAATTGAGAAAACCTAATCACAAATCTGCGATTAGGGTCTATAAAAATAACAAGTTTCTATCATTCAAGTTTGAACCCCTTGATTGGGTGAAAGTATTGAAAAGAAATATTCTCAGATATATTTATGAACACAAAAAAAGATATATAATGAAATACATTGAGAATTCACATTCTCCATGTGATGTAAATATTAATTCTTTATTGCTTTATTCAACAGAAAACAACTACTTTCCTAGCTATATGCCATGACAAATATTGAATTACATCTATTGAACATAGGACACTACTTTTTGGCCACATGAACTAGTATCAAATGGGCACCATCAACTGATTTCTTCAAATGTAAAGAAAGAGGGATCACATGGTATTTATTTTTGAATGCCTTTCGATTCTCTATCCAATGCTACTTCATTTGTGCATTTCAGCCAAGAGGTTTCAAAATGAAAAGCATTTGAACTTTGCTTCAAATATCATTAAATCAATCTAACAACTTGATTAATTTCGTAGACCATACAAGGTATGAAACAAGTCACAAGTTACCATTAAATTTTATATATAGGTACAGCTGTATTCAGAAAAAAAGCAGAGATAAATTAATGTCATTCAATTTGCGTAAAATGGGCTATTGGGAATGATTGTTTACCAAATGTTGACAGTGAAGTTGTCATAGGTTCTCAAAAACAGAAAGCATTGACTGAGGCAGTTTTATACAACTAGAACTAGGATGCTGTAAACCTCTCTTTTCCACATTCATATGACTGTACACATATAAGAGTAAACACTAAATATTGATATTAATGAATACAAAATCTAAAGGAATTACCACAGAATTTTAAGTATCAAGTGCTCAAATGCTGGAAATATTCACCGTTAATTTATTTGCAGGAAAATATCGGTTTTGGAATTCAATACAAAGGTTATTTAATAATTCCTAGGTAAACTTCAAATGCTTGTCATTTTGTAAGGGCATTACTGATTTGCAAAAATTTTTACAAATACAATGTTCTGCATAAATAGAAAACCTATAAATTCAGCAATCAGGTAATAGTTTAGACTTGATTGAGCCTAAAATTATGGTAAAACAAAATTTAAATATCCAAAGTGGTAAATAGTAACTTTCTGTTTTGATGTTTCATCAGACCCAGAAAAGTTTGAAGATAATTTTGGACCACCATGTATAAAATAATAATTAACATTATTACTTTAAATACCTGAAATAGCCTTTAAGTACAGGGTGATTCACCATAAATGTCCCCCTCCCTCTAGCTCATTTATTTCTGAACCGATTTCAAAATTTCTTCCCTTGACTTAATTTTTTGCAATTGCTGTGAGCTAATTGAAATTCAGCTTATAGTCTAGACTCTAGATGGACCCCCAAATATTTTAGAGTGGAGCGTGGATGTATATTCATTTTCAGCAACGCCGTACAAATTTGCTGGTACAGGGGTCAGAAGCACTGCATGCAAACTCTTTCTTAGGAGGTATGGTTCAAGGTCATTGAAAAATGTATGGCATCGGTTCCATCATATTATTCAACAGAAAAATAGTCTTGAAAAATCTTGCTTGAAGTTGAATCTTATATTTTTCATAGAAAGACTATAAATCCCTGTACGGCAACCGGTTTCTGGACATCATAAGACTGAATATCATCAGTCTACCTAATAGCTATAATCAATGGAACTGAATGAAAATATAATTAAAAATGAAAAAAATTGAAATTTGTATCTAAAATTTTCAAAATGCATTGTGATTTATTAGAGGAGTAATTCTCGGAATATGCCGTACATTTTTAATTTGAGGACTTCTCATAGCTGCTTAGATTGTGCATCATGTTTTCACGGAATTTCAAAGTCAATGATGATTGTAAGGCATTCATGAAATTCCATTAGCCAGAGAAACCCAGTGACTATAGGCACGTTGATCTGCACGCAAAATATTTCATCCGTTCATGTACATGACGTCACTTACAATACGCTATAACCACTAGATGCAATTTTCTCTTCATAGGTACATTTTCAAGCAAGAGTTGCCATAGAAAACTGTGTATAGGACTGCCAATCCGGCGACCCAGGATCAATCCTCGGGAAGTCCAACTTTTTTTTGAAATTTTTCAATTAGTTTTTTCAAGTAATTTTCCGAAAAATATACTTTTTAGTGTTGTATTCGATTTTAAATTTTGAATATCCCGCCATTCTCTTTGAATTATATTAGACTACATCTTAGGTTAGTCACAGTTTTATGTTCCATGTCAATATGTCAATATTGTCAATGTATGTTCTGTGTTTCATGATGAGGAAGAGGTACAGTTTTTTCAAGAGAAACACTCTTGTTCGCCATTAGGTGAAAGACAAAGCGTTTACCAGAGAAATTATGTTTGCCCACAAATTTATTATGTTTTATTAAAGAGTGGTTCAAAAACTATTTATTTTATTATTGGACCACCTCATTAGGAAAATCCTTTTAGGGCAACTCAGGTTAAAATTGGGAAAAGTAGTCTCCTTCTTTATGGATATTCAGTATAGTAATTTTCCTAACAAGTGCGGAAAGTAATTATTTCCCGACTGCTTGCCCGAACTCCGCTTCGCGTCGTTCGTGTCAACGGCAGTCGCGTGCGGGAAAGACACTCCGCATATTTTTTCTACAAGCGTAGGAAATTGATTCTACTGATTATTAGTAATAGCTACTGTGAACTTACTGTTTGACGCCTTATGTATAGGTTCATTGCGGAAGCCAGCAGGCCCATAAAGTGTTTGGTCTCTAGGTTTCAGACACTTCTAGGAAATGAGCCAAAAATACTTCTTCTGTATTCGGTATTTTCATTTCCTTATTGTTGCACCATTCAATAAAACGCGTGTATAGCTTCTCATACCTTTCTTAAGACTTCGTTGGCAGTCCGTTTGCAGGTCGTTTAAGGGGTAGTTACTACTTTTCTAGTATTGAAAAAATCAGAGTCAGAAAAGTTTAGCCAAGTTCATATACTGCATAGACATTACTAAATAGGTTAATAATATCATGTTTCAAGATGATCAATTTGCAGGCCTAAAGTGAATGCAGGAAAAGGTGGAAAATCAAAACAGTAAAGCGTTTGCCATCAAATATACTTGTGGTACCACAGGCTATGAACACCTATTATATATGGTCATATTAAAATGTTGTTACGTGCATTCTTTTCTTGTTTATAAATGTTGTTGCCCTATTTCTATTTTCCATCTACGGCCATGATAGATTTGACAGAAAATCTAACCTCTAAAATCGTATCTGACAATAAGGCACTACTAGGGAAATAGAAAAGGACAGAAGTTCAGCTGTGTCCGAACTCTTATCTAAATAATACCATCCAGTGACTAGCTGGGATATGACACGGTCTAGATTGTAATTGTCAGTGATGACAGATTACCCCTTAGTGCCGCCAAGTGGGAGCAATATTGGACATCCATGCTTGCTGCCATGCATACGCAAATATCATGGTTTCCTGTCATTTGACAGCATATCAAATTTGAATAAGTGGAAATTTATGGAAATCACATTGCAAGATGTTCGTTTTAGATGGGATAATAATGGACTAATAGTAACAGAGATGTTATACAAATCAATGCTTCTTTAATTTTCACACAGTACTATTCTCTTAATAATTGCACTCCATCCTTTTACATTTTAGGCCAGATCCGCTATTTATAATTATTATATCTTCTACATACATTTCTTTCTTGCAGAAATACCCGATACATCGATTGCAGATACTTCTACCGAAGATTTAGATGTATCTCAAACAGAAACCCCCAAGAAATCTAAGCCAGCAGCTACTGAACAATCGGAGGTAAACATTATAGTGAAATATTGCTACCACAGTATTCATGAAAATCTCATGTTTTTCAGGTCAAAGATCTGCCTCCTCCCAAAACTCCTGAGAAACCAAAAGCTGCAGTTAAACCGGAAGTAACAAAATCTCCAGAAAAACCAAAACCTGTTGAAAAAGTCGTTCCAGGAGTAGTACCTAAATCCCCAGAAAAAGAAGTTAAATCCACAGAAAATGTAGTAAAATCCCCAGAAAAGCCAATCAAATCCCCGGAAAAGGTTGAAAAGTCCCCTGAGAAAGTAGCCAAATCATTGGGAAAGGTGACCAATTCCTCACCAGAAAAGGTGGCCAAGTCCTTGGATGAAGGTCATTCGGCATCATCTGATAAGAAAGAACCTGTTAAGGTTGTTGCCCAGGAAAATTCAGCCTCTCCAACCAAAACTGTTGAGCAAGCAGAAGTAGAGCCAAGTGATCAGGATGTAAGTTTCCTTATAATGTCACTTGAGGTTAACTACTTTTATTTTTTTAATGTTATAATTAATAAGATCCTATTGACCCCTAATGTTTGAGGCAAATCGTAATTAGATCTGATGAAAACCTAGTGAAAGATTAGAGTGGTAAATATCAAGAAAGTAAAATAGGCGATTATGGATAGTTATAAATAGTTGAAAACAGTTTTAAACATGGTTATTCATGAGAGAGAGAGAGAGAGAGGGAGAGCATACAAGATAAAAATATAACCTACTGACAGTATTGAAAACAATAATTTTTCTACATTTTTTGGATTAGTTCTATTAATCTCTGTGAATAAAAATGTTGGTATTATTATTATCATTATTTGAATATCCCTGTACTATGGACAAAGGCAAAATTTCACTATCAGGAACATTAAAGAGAATAGAAATTCAATTGATAGTCACTGAGACCTTGTTTGAAGGAGGGAGAAGTAGTACAAGGTATATTAAACAAATATAAACTGATGGACCTATAGTGCTACTGAACTGAACAATATCAATAATAAAAAGTTCTGTGAATCTGATTATGTGAAATAAGGAAAAAAAAAAGAAATCTATACTACAAAGGAATAACATTATTTAAGGTTCAAAATGATAATGCGGCAGAAAAAAGCGAGACATCTGAAAAAATGGAAACTAACGAGGGGGAAGCAACATCCGCTGCTGGCAATGAAGCCTCCACTGAGGATTCTGAGAAGAAAAGAGAGAAGAGGAAACGTGATTCAGATTCTCCCGAGAGGTCACAAAAGAAGAGACCTAGATCGCCGAGGCCAATTGAAGAAGATGAACCTGCTATTGATAATGACAAAGTTCAACTGAGTTGGTGTAAGTAAAATTCACAACCTACTTTTTGTAATCTATTTTGCACATTTTACTGATTTCGATATTTGTGTTACTGAATGTTTCTCCATATTGAATATGATTTGTCATGAATATGGTTGCACCACATAGCCCTAATCTCACCTCAAACATATTTCCACTTTTTCATAATATTTGATGTTGCTGTATTTATCTCTCCACAATAACTAAATGTGAATCAAAATATATAAAATTTGTTAATTTCTGTTCTTCAAACAACCATTCATAGACAACATGTAATAAGGGTCAAATATGTTTGTTGGAACACATGAATAGCCTATTTTGGATCCATGATGTCACATTATGACGTCTACTGTCTCCTATTCCGAATTCATTGTGTCCTCATATAGCCTGGGACACGTGTTGCATCAAGACAAATCCCAGTGCTGGGGAGAACGATGTAATGCAAAAATTTTGAAAAAAACATGGAAAGATATGTGAAAACCAACTGATTGATTTGATAAACGAGTGAAGCGAGTGCAGCTCCCAGCTGATGGTTGAGTGAAAACTGTATCTGTCTTAGTTACACATATAGCAATATCGGTGGTTCTTTCTCTATATAACCTACTGACAGTATTGAAAACAATAATTATGATTTTTTTTCCATACAAATTAAGGACGTATTCTCAGTTATCACTCAAAACAGACCAGTACTGATTCTCACCATTCTAAAATATAGCTTGTTTGAAATAAAATGGGTGTTCTAAGTCTATTTCAGGATTTTTAGGAATGGGGGTTTTCAAATGAATTTTCTTAAAATGAGTTCGAAACTCGGTTTTATGTCCACGTTGTACAGAATAGCGATCGATAAAGTCCAAGTCGTTTTTATTTCAGACATAACTGGATACATAACTGTTATGTGCGACATATTGTTGCCTGTCAGCTATGTAAGATGACATTAAGTTGATACTATTCATGATAGAGTTATACTGCTTCAGTTTCAACAGTAGTTAATCATGCTGAATGCAATCAAATGCTTTAGTTAGGTCATGAAAGTCAGCATGGACATACATACCACCTTCAAAACCATTATTTATGATTTGCACAGGTTCATTTATCGCGAGAGCTGTTGAGAGATTCTTACGAAAGCCAAATTAGCATTATTATAATAGGTCATTTGCTTCAAAATATTCGGTTATTTGCGATTTAAGAAGTGCTTCAAATTTCTTTGAAAAGATACGTACCAAGGAAATGGGCCGGTAATTAGATAGTTCCTCTGCCGAACCTTTTCAAAACGTTAGGAAATATGCCTTTTTTATGCAAGAATTCATCAGCCTTGTCAGGGGATATATTATTAGGTTGGCAATGGATTTTACGATTTTGATATTGTCATACGGATCGGTAAAATTGGAATTTTCAGATTTGCTACAACTTCTCTGACCTCGTTGTAGACATCACGGAAACAACATTTTAGGTTTCCCTTGATATGAATATTATCTGCTGGGTTTAAAGTAATCGGAGGTAAATTGAATACCAGGTCCGCTATCCTAAAGAAGTAGGCATAAATGTTTTCTGCAGATACATTTTCTCTATTTAAGATTTTATAATGGGGTTGTTTCCTTTGATAGATTTCCACATGGCTGTTTGTTTATTGGATGATTTTTGTACATATTCATCGAGGGCCTTTCTCTTCGCATTTAAAATACTCAAGCGGTAGCCATTTAGATTACAAAATCACCAATTTGAGACCTATGAATAGTTAGAAGCTCGAGATTTCACAGCAAATGCCAGAAACTCCTTAGTGCAATTCGTTGGAAATATTCAAGATGTTATCGGGTAGAGGATAGGTATTTAATTTATTTTCCACATACAAGTAGACACCCCCATGTTCCATATTATGAGACCTGCAAAAACCAGAGACGGACCTGTAGCCCTTGTAGTTTAAATTGATATATTCATCATTAGTTAAACGATGCTCATTTAGGGGCAGTTTAATAGGTTCAGTTTAAACTTGAGTTCAATCTGAAGTTTAAACTAAAGTTTTCGGAACAGTTTAAACTTGGTTTAACCATCACTTTGCGCTTGGACGTTTTATAGCTTTCGTTTCTCAGCAGTATATTTTTGTTTGGGGTGTTGGCATCTTGAATGAATGCATATTGGCAAGCGGTGATGTGTTTACTTCTTCTTCTTATTACTTTTTGAGGTTAAGTGTTCTCTACGATTTCTATACCTACGCGAACTAAAGTTTAAAAATGTCCAACGACGAGGAAAAAACTAAAAAAAAGAAAACTTCTGAAGACGGAGTTAATCTTCTAATAAATTTAGTGAAAAAATATAAAAACATTATTGAATGCAAAAAAAGTGATGCGGTTATGTGGAGAGATAAGGAAAAGGCCTGGGAGCATCTTTCGGGGAGCCTCTACAAAGTTCATAATATCTTCTATTTTCATTTTGAATTAACAAACAAAACACAGCCAAATATCGCCTGTCAACCGTTGCGCAAGCTCATCCTCAATCTGAAGTTTAACTGGTACTCCTTCCATCGTTTACGTTAACGAGGGGATCGTCGAGTTTAAATTGAAGATTAACTTCAACCAGAACCCTTAAAACGACAATTTTCTCATTACCCAGGTTTAAACTCCAATCCGCAGTTTGAACGGAACCTATAAAACTGGCCCTTTGACAAATATAATCATAGTCAAATTCCTCGGCTAGAGCCTCTAGCAAATTAACCTTGTGTCTAACACTTTGTATGTTTAGATGTTGCAATTTATGTTCTGCGTTATTGGAGTGAACTAGGTGGAGGTTTGGTTCCGTTGATCCGTTGGAAAATGTTGGTGGGTTTAATACTTCCTGGGTGTATATTTTCCAACAATTATACCCTCTGGTCAGAATTTTTGGATTTCGCCGTTCTGTTATTTGTTCACATATATGTGTATTGTTTTGCATAATTCGCGTCCAGGTACTTCAGTAGGTCTTGATTAGTTGTATCGGGGAGGAATCCAGAAAGGTTAATCCAAGTTGGCCTATTTACAACTTTTGAAGCTGCCACCTCGTTGTTGCCCCGACTTCCAGTTGATAATTTGTACTGAAGCCTCGTCATTTTTGTGTCTTCTGTATGATAACGTTTTCCAATATCCATTTGGTTTGGTTTCCCTTTCCTGTTCTCGAAAATTATTTGTATCATCGTAATCTGTCTTGTTTTTGTTTCGGCCAGCCTCTTGGTTATGATACCTATTCTTTGTATTATCGTTCTTCTTAGTGATATTTTTCTCTTCTTGTTTCTTCGGACTTTTTACTTGAGATTTGCGTTCTGTGCCATGTTCCGTTATAGGATTAGGAACAGCAGGTGAGCTGTCACTACTAGAAGAAGACGGCGAGGTTATAGATAACTTTCACACAGTCCACCTTCTCCTTGACCATTTGCAGATTGCTGGCCTTGAACGATGTTGATACAGATACAGATACTGGAACTGAAGTTTTTTGTAGTTTAGGTTTGTTGAATCGGTTTTTTTCACTTCGCCCATCCCTTCACTCGATGTTCAGCTGACAATTTCCATTCAATACATGGTGTTTTTTTCGACCAATTCCATTATTATGCGTTTTAAGAAAGAATTTTCAGACATATAAACTTCCATTTAGAATGAGATTCCATTACTCACGGCGTCGACTCCGCATATTTCTTCCACTGTATGGAGGCACACCGGGTTTTTTGCTTGATTTGCTTGCTTCAAACAACTTGGATGGAGTGGTACATGACATTTCACACATTTCACATAATTCACAACATTTTTTCTGCAGTGTTTGCATCTAAAACTTTCGGTTTTTAACAGATGATTTGGAATCGCACCTAGACCGGCGGCCATCTTCGAATTATGTAAAGTACTCGTCAGGAACATCAAAAGGATGTGTCACGAGAACCCCTTCTCCATTTTTTTTTTTTTCTCTCAGATGGCGCCCAGTCGCCCTTGAAATTTTCATGACATGAAAATTGACAGAGTATCACTCCAAAATATAGTATTCATGCATCCATTTCATTATCCCATGTTCCAATGTTTTCAGTAGACCCGTTCAAAAAATGAACGGGGGAGGGGAGAGCATTAAAGAAAAGTACTGTATGATTATACGGATCGGAAAAACTTCACAGTGACATATCAACCTCAATATTGGGAACTTCCCCATTGTTACCGAAGAATTTATCAAATCAAATGATATCTAGTTAAATTCGTTATATAATCTAGTACGTTTGCAATTGTGGTAATAGCTAGTCGAAGGTAATCAAAAAAGAAACAGTTCAAATTTTAAAAATTCTTTAATAATTTATTATACTTACTGATAAATGAAAAAACTACCCTATTCTAATAAAAATGATTATTGGACATGAGTTTCATTATTGCCGTTTTATTTTCATTTCAGACGATTCTGATCTCAACCTACAAATCGATAAGGAGTCATTTTTGTCCGCAAAGCCCCTTACAGAATCGGCTTTCGGTTACGTTTGGGCTGGTGCCAGGGCTACTCACGGAGTTCAGTCTGGAAAAGTATGTTTTTTCAAATGTAACTAGCTGGTTTCTAAATGTCCGCTTTCAGGTATGTTATGAAATCAAAATAACTGACGAAATAAAGTGGGAAGACGATTTCTCCCAGCATAGGCAATACGACAGAAGAGGTTCAAGTAGGTCGGATAGAAGAGATTCCTCCAGGAAGGATTCCAAATCCGAAGTCAAAAAAGCAGGCGAAGATAAGAAGGACGAAAAGATTGAGAAGTCTACGACTAACGAGAAGGATGAAGATGTTAAAAACTCTACGACTAACGAGACAGACAAAACCGAACAGCCGGCAGAAAAGATGGAGACAACTACTGAGGATTCCGAAACTAAAACTGAGACTTCTTCAGAGGTTGCGAAAACTGATGAATCCGGGGAAGTTCCTGTTTCCACTGATAATAGCGAAACGACACCTGAAGTACAGGATAACAATAAATCTGAAGAGCCGATGGAAACTGACACTACCACCGAAGCTAAAGATAACGAAACCGATACTAAGGATGAGAAAGAAAAAGTCGAACCAGTAGTTGTTGAGAAGAAGGAACCACTTCCTACGCACTTCTTCAGAGTCGGGTGGTCGGTTTTAAAGAGTAGCTTGCAACTTGGAGAAGACGAGTTCTCTTATGCGTACGAGTCTTCAGGAAAATTCGCGAATAACGGAAAATTCACCGATTATGGAATCAAGTTTGGAAATGGCGACGTTATTGGTGCATTTTTGGTAAGACTTCATCACATATTGAAAAACATTTGTTTCATCATGTTTTGTAACACTATGAGACGTTCAGCAGAGTGAATTTTTATACATTGACCTTTGAAGTTTCTAAATGGTTCGCCATGAAAACATTCACAAAACTGCAACTGTGCTAGCGTAAAGTATTCATTATCAATTCTTAATGTTAGCATCTAGCAACTATATGCGCTACTGCTCAGTGGAATGTGCTTAGATCAGAGCCTATGACAGACGTGTGTGAAGACTGGCTCATACAGTGTTCGGCAGGCAGCCGAATTAAGAGCAAGTGTAACCCTTGTCCACGTCATTTGTGCTCGTGTTTATTGAATTGTGATCATAATATATTTCCGGGCATAACAAAAATCATTAAATTGCATGAGTACAAATAGGAAAAATCAATTATTTATTATGCCACATTCAATCCTGTCGCAATTTTCTGCACTGCAGCTCCAGGGAGGTAGAAAAGACGCGTTTACTACCTTCGCCCCGGATAAAAATCATCAACAAAAATGGAAGGTAAGGGCTACATGTAACAAAAAAAACTATTAACTTTCATGATGCCGGAAACAGGCACAGTGTATCAAATCAGCACGTGTTTGAGACCCGGAAGACTAAACCAGTAATTCTGAGGTACATAGCAAAATAAACAGTAGGAATCATTTTAGAAGACAAGCAATAATCACAGTAACAGATGTTGATGCTTCTCCAGCTACTGTGTGATCAATTTCCGTTGTTTTAGTAACTCATCTGCATTATGAATATAAATCAGACAGCTTTGTAAATAAATATTGTTTGACAATTACAAATCTGTTATCTTAGTGAAGTGACAAATCCCTGACATTTCACAGGTACATTGAAGTTTGGTCCAGCCGCGTTCTGGTTTGAGGGGCTCATTTTCATTTATGAAAAACTTGTCTGAAATAGCCCCACTGAAACGTTTCATAGTGAAGTATAGTTGTTTCAATAAGTAGATGTCCTCGCTCGAGAAACATTGCAACATTTTTCTATAAATGAATATTTTTCATATAATCTAGAAAAATCAAAATTCAAATTTATATATGAATCTTCAAACACTGGAAGTTGAAGAAATCCAAATTTTTTTGGACCTATCATTGCGCCGGAAAATCTCATACAAAATTCGGTTTCTGTGAAGAATTTTATTTTGTGTATAATTAGTCCTTACCTACAATTTTTGTTACTGGCGCTACTGTTCGGAGCGAAAAGGTAGGAAATGCGTTTTTCCTACCCTCTGTAGCGCCAGTATGCCGACGGTTGCAGCAGAACTGGACACGGCATAGTTTTCCTAGTCATATTCATTGAAATGCATATGTGTCTGTTAGAAATGATATATATTATTAAAACGCGTCTGGCTATTAATTGTCACTGAATACTTTAGGCAAGATTTACTTCGGCACAGTTGTCGTTTTGCTGATATGATTTCATGAATAAAACTTGAGAATCCTTCGGGGATTTATTTATTTATTTATTTATTTATTCAATTATTGAATCACGTATTAAATTGTTTTTCCATAATATAAATACATAAACTGAAAACAAATAATCAATTCATAAATGAGAATAAATTGAGATAAAGCAAAAAATAGAGTTGATTGAAAAAGATCATTGATTTTTTTCGCATTTTCTATTAGCCAACTTTTAACTTCTTTTTTGAAAGTTATGATATTTAGGCGTTTTTATTTTGATGGTATTCTATTATGAATTTTAGATCCAATAAAACTAGAATGTTTCTCTAAAATTCTAAGCTTATGTTTTTCAAGTCGTAGTTTTTTAAGTCATACATTGTTGATTTTGTTTCTTGTATCATAACTATGGTTGATTTTATTGGTTAGTGCCAGATTCGTTTCAATAAAGATTATTGGCGCCTTATAGAATAATTGCCCAACATTCAATCTACTATTTTCTAAAAATAATGATGCTGATGGATAATCAAATGATTTATGGAATATTATTTTCGAAACAGTTTCAATGTATAAAAATCGACCCGACTCTTGGACTATGTTGTTTTTATAAGAAAATGCAGAGTAAAGGAAGTGAAATTATATTTTAAAACTGATTGACAGACATATCAATATTCAACTTATTATTTTTTTACTAACGTTACAAAACAAAACATATATCTCAGCCAATCTTGATATCCAACAGACTATATCGAAAAATGTCTGTTTTCAGTAGATAGAAGCTCCATCTAACCATGTCAACTTTTTTTTATCATCAACGCCCTTTACTCTGTTATTTTGTGATTTCGTTTGTTGGTTTTAGAAGACATAGAAATTCAATTTGGCAGATGAGGCTAATGATCCAGTTGTCGATGCTTAAATTTATGGAAAATAATAAAAAATTATGAGCAGTAATATTACTTTTTTTTCAGGAAATTAATGACACTGATGTCATAATAACTTACACAGTCAATGGAGAAGCTCAACCTGAGGCTGCTCGAATTCCCAAATCCGATCTACCTGAAAACTTTGCTCTCTTCCCTCATATTTTGACTCGCAATTACGCGTTCGAGATTAATCTTGGAGAAAAGGAAGAACCATGGTTCCAGAATCCAAGTACACTTACCGATTTCACATATCTTAGTAAAGTAGATGAGAGAATTTCCGGACCCGTCAGGCCCGAAAACAGGTCAGAATGCGAGGTAAGAAAATGATAGTTTTTCCATGGAACACCACTAAAACTTGTGATATGTAGGTGTTGCTGATGTGTGGTCTCCCTGCGTCCGGTAAAACACACTGGGTGAAAGAACATGTTGCTTCAAATGAGAACAAAGATTATACTATTTTGGGAAAAGTCTCAATGTTGGAACGAATGACGGTAAGTCTAGAATCCGCTTTATATCCTTTAAATATTCTACATTTCTTGGAATGGTACGGTTGAGGTTTTATGTTAGTGCCAGCTCCAGAAGTTTCCAATTGAGGAAACACAGTGTGACCCACTTTGGACAGGTGGAACCCTGTTTACAAGCATTAAAAACAATCAATTCTTTCTCAGCAGAAAGAGCATTCTAAAGTCGATTATAGCACATATCGGCAAAGAAATCAAACTTTTTATATGATTTTTTCGCATTTCAAACTTTTATAGCTATTTTTTTGTGGAATTGTTTTGTTCTTTTTAATCGTGTTACTCAAAGGGGACAATCCTAAATAGGTATTAAGAGTCCATTTCACTCATTCTGTTAGGGGATTACCTGAAGAATGAGGTGCGAGAGGGTGACGGCGGTAGGCGGGGACATCACAACCCTTTCCACGGCGAATTCGCAAGCATGTATTCAGGTGGAAATTTAGAACGCTGGCCACTGGCACTAACATTGCATTATTTTCATTTTACTTATCTCATCTATTTTTAGAACAGCTTGGCGCGCGGTGGTCAGTACGGTTATGAAATTGAAAGGATAGGGCATTTCAGGGTGAAATGATAGATAGATAGGCTTTATTTAACACTGTCACATGTAAATGTTTAGTGCAAGTCAAAATGTAACAAGGATAATATTCATCTTCCTAACATAAATACCTTTAACGACAATACTTATACAATACAATACAATACGTTTATTTTCCATTGGACATTTCTAGATGTATAGGAATCGTCAGATTAAAGGCTTAAAACTAGACAGTTTGAGACAGAGACATAAGATAAAATGATAATATTTCGATATTACAGAGACAGAAACAGAACACTAGGCTGCCGAAAAATATTCTTCTAAAGTATAGGGATTCATTTCCAGTAGGAATTGCTTCAAGTTCGTTTTGAAATGACTGAGTTTTTTGAAGTTTTTCAATCGACTGGGAAGTTTATTGAAAGCTTTGAGTCCAAAGTAATTGGGAGAGTTACGTGTAATCTCATATTTACACATTGGAATGTGATAATTGTCACATTGTCTTGTAATTATACCATGAATATTCCTATTAGTAATGAATTTTTCTTTGTTCAAAAATACATAAACACATAATTCAAATACAAAAACACCAATGACAGTTAAAATGTTAAGACTATTAAAAATATTTCTGCAAGATTGTTGACTAGGTATGCCTGCTATTATTCTTATAATCCTTTTTTGTACAATAAAAACATCCGGTGATAGAGTAGAGTTACCCCAAAAATTTATACCATAGCGGATTCGGGAGGAAACTTGAGCATGATAGAGCAACAACAACTGTTCTTCTGTAAGTATTGTTTTTAGACTCCGAAACATATAACAGAGAGAATTTAGTTTCTTTATCAATTTGTTACAATGGTATTTCCATGTTAAACATTCATCTATGCCGATTCCTAGGAATGTTAACTCATCAACATTTCCCAGCAGATCACCATGCACAGATATATCTATATAAAGAACAAATACTTATAAAGAACAAATACACATGAGAAATGAGACGCTATTCATATTCATTTGGATATTGGATACAATTGTATTATTCCAGAAACTCAGCCATTCATTAGAATATAATTTATAGCTGACCCGGCAAACGTTGTTTTGCTATACACTGTGTCTCAGATTGGAGCTGCATGTATTGCTATCTCGGTTATTATAAGAGCTACACAGTCGTTCAAATGAGCAATGTTTCTCAGAATTCTATTACTATTTCAGAATTGCCATCAGATTTTTTTTGTAATAATTGCGAAAACCCAAAATGGTGCGTTTTTGACATTCTCCTGTATCTCCTTTTTTGAAAACTAACGGCTTTCTGGCTCAGACATTTCTTGTTCAAGAACTTTTGAATAAAAAATAGAACAATGAAATATCTTCCCACGTTTTCGAGATAATGATAATAGCTTTGTTTTTTGTCATGGAAATTTTCAGATTCGTTTATTTCTGTATTTGTTCAGATGAATATAATATGTTGTGATACAGTTTTGAAAAGAGGATTGAAATTTCTATTTAATGCAATAAAAATCAAATATGGCGCCCATATGAATGCCGTAAGTTTTCAGATAACAGAAACGCCCATGTTTTTCTCGATTATTTCAAATACAAAAAACGATCGGAAAAATTGTATGGCAGTTCTGAGATGGTTATAGAATTCTGAGAAACATTGCGAATCTGAAAGACTTTGTAGCTCTAATAATAACCGAGATAGCAATAGGTATTTACATGCAGCACCAATCTGGGACACAGTGTATACATTATTTCTGGAAAATATTTTTGTTTTGTGAATATTCATCAAAACACTAGGTATTATATTATTTTCTACTACTTTTTAGTTTGACAATCTATCAAAGCGTGTTCCTTCAGTTTTTCAAACTATTAGTTATTTTCTACTCCTTTTTAGTTCGCTTGAATTTCCATAACGTTGACGAAATAATCATAAACCTCCAAATGTTCCAAAAAATCCAACACCTACCTCCTCTCCCTATCCTCCCTAGGTACGCACGATGATCCACGAACATTATAGGAATTTCCTTCCGTGCGCTCCAAGAGATAAAAAAATCTCCGATCCCGAAAACCACAGGTACAATTTTCGAATAGAATAGGATCATGATCACATAACTCGTCCGCCATAATGGTTCCGTATGTCCACGATTTTGAATTGATATCTGATGGTTTCAGGGTCGGAGATTGATTCTCTCGTCAAAATTTGGAAAAAAATTTCTATTATAAAACTAGCCTGAGTATTTTTTTAAATATATTTTTTCATATGACGATGTGCAAAACACAAGGTTACACAAAATGCGTTTTCTAACTAGTTACATACAATATTTTTTTCTTATTTTGATGAAAAATTCCGCTTGAACAGAAATAATGACCAGTTCTGCATAATAATAATAATAATAATAATAATAATAATAATAATGATAATAATAAATCGTCTTTATTCATCATTTGCAGAAAAAAAAATCGCACGAAAAATAACCAAACAAAAATATTTTTTCTACTCCTTACTCGGTAAGTACTTCATTTTGATACTGATTTGAGGGAGGAAAGCACGTTCTACCTCCCTAGGGAGGTAAGTAAATATTTACCTTCATTTTGATACTGATTTGAGGGAGGAAAGCACGTTCTACCTCCCTAGGGAGGTAAGTAAATATTTACCTCCCTAGGGAGGTAGAACGTGTTTTCCTCCCTCAAATCAGTATCAAAATGAAGTACTTACCGAGTAAGGAGTAGAAAAACATTTTTTTTAATCTGAGGGAACTGGAGTAGAAAAAATATAATACAAAACTCGGGAGGCAGTGTTCTTGACCAGTCTCGGACTATTTTGCAAGCCCTCGCTATCGCTCGGGCGCAAACAATGTCCTCGACTGGTAAGTATCACTTGCCTCCCTTGTAGTGTAAATAACTATTGTCAAACCTTAGGTATAAGGTGAATAGTGAATGGTGAATAGGCGAGTAAAAATCTGTTTTTCAACTCAACCGCAAAAATAAAATAAGGAGAACATGTAAATTAACAAAAATATAAATTATACAATGTAGATGCGTTATTTTTTCCAAGAAACACCTATATATTAATAAGCATATTTTCTAAAATTTTTGAAAAAATTTTCAAGAAACGAATTGTAGAATTCATCAACAAAAAATATAGCTTTGATTCTAATCAATTTGGTTTTCAAGAAAACAGTGGAACACAAGCAGCAGTACTACAAGTGATAAAATCAATTCAGAGAGGACTTGATTCAGGAAATTATGTGGTAGCTGTTTTCATTGATCTCAAAAAGGCTTTTGACACAGTTGATCATACAACACTTTTAGAAAACTTAAAAACAATGGGACTCAGAGGCACTGTGAGAAATATTTTGAATTCATATCTTGAAAATAAGGGTGTCCCACAAGGCTCTGTTTTAGGACCTATACTATATTTACTTTATGTTCAAAATATCAGTGAAATTGGTCTAGCGTGTAAATATACCATGTATGCAGATGATACAGTACTTTTATATGAAGGCAAGAATCCTTCAAATTTAGAAAATATGATGAATGAAGACTTGAAAATATTTGAAAAATGGCTCCAATCTAACCTTTTATCGATAAATACTAACAAAACAGAATATATGATTTTACACCAAAAAAATAAACAAAAAAATTACCTCAACCTTAAAATAAAAAATGAACTCTTAAAACAAACTGACCAGATGAAATATCTTGATATTTGGTTTGATGACAGGTTGAAGTGGGACAAACATATTGATGTTCTAACAAAAAAAATATCTCCAATTATTGGTGCATTGAAAAGATGTCCCAAACTTGATATCAAAATTGCAAACATGATTCTCTACTCTCATATACTGAGTTGTATCAACTATTTAATAAATGTTTGGGGATCTTGTTCAAAAAATAATTTCAATAAAATATCAACATTATATAGAAAATCGTAAAAAGTATTGTATCGTCTCCCATTTGATACACCAACCAATCGATTGTATGAAATAACAAATACGTATTCTTTAGATGAAATATATAGAATTGAAACTCTTAAAATATCATATAATATCATAAATAAAAAATTTAAGTCGAATATTATTTTGATACGGAATTCTGGAATTCATAATCATGAAACTAGACAATATTACTTGTTTCATCTTGACACCGCTAGCTCCATAATCGGACAAAAAAAATTGCAGAAATATAGGTACATTCAAAAATGAAGTGTAAAAAAACTGATTATTTCTGAGCGAACTGGATAAAATTAATCATGCCATTTTTTTTAAACAAATATTATTCTTTGTTTGCAGTTTACAGTTGTTGATATATTTTGAATGATGCTATGTTTACCTATAGGTATATAATTATATACTTCCTTATACCAGAACCTATTCTGTCTGGAAGTTATTTCTTCAATAAATAAATAAATAATAAATAAATACAATAGAAAGAAAGAATCCAAAAATGTAAATAAAAAATTGCATAATATTGAGAATTGAATAAACAAAGTATTGTCAGAAAGGCATTGCAAGATGTCTGATCATAATAAGACCTACCTGGCTGAAAGATCAAGCTTTAATCTCTTAAACTTACTGAGAGTGAAAGATCTTGATTCCATAGGAAGTGAATTATAATATTTGGTAGCTGTATAAGAGAAATTGCGTTTGAAGAAAGATGAATTATGTTTTGGTATAACAAGAGCGGTTTTATTGTGACAGGACTACATGTCACGAAATGGAAGAAGGGGTTATGTACGCATGAATCGTATGTGTATCAAAAAATGATATGAAAACTATTCCTCACAATTGCATAAAAGAAATTATTAAACTAGCTTTCCTTGAAAAATGCCAGCTAACTTTACTAAAACCTATTTTTCTCACAAACTCATATTTGTAACATAACTCCTTCTTCCACTTGTCCCTTCAAATAAGGAAGCAAACGCCCACTTTCGATTCAGTGAATAGATGAAAGTATTTATTTTTTTCTTGTAGATTTCTGGCGAGTCCCTCCAGTCTCAGTTTCAGGGAAAATGGCAAGTTTTCCTTGACAGGATGCAGAAATCCCTTAACAGACTCCTCGGGATGGCTGCCCTCCGCAGAAGGAACTATATTATTGACCAGGTATGTGAAATATTTTGTTTGAGAAGTGTTGCATATGATTAATCATCAAAAAATATGCATTTCTTTGTGGAACCTATCCATGTGTAAGTATGTTATTTCGTGAATTGGTACACCGGACATCTTTTCGAATGTGTAAGTATGTCGAGGATCAGGTCAGAGTCCATCTAATACACCAGCAAGTTAACGTACAGGACTAGTTAATTTTCTAATATGGCAAGGTAAAGACATTGTATCCTACTGATAATGTCAGTGTAGCTGTTAAATTAATTGTTTTGATTTTGTGGTGATAATAATTAGTTCAAAGGTAGGCATAGGCACATACAATTTCGTGTTGTATTTTATAATAAATTTGGATACTTTACATAGTTATTGATTAACGGAATCCCGTTTCTATTTTCGGAATGCAGACATATCCTGTCACTATTTTTAAATTAGAGGGATTCTCAATCACTGAGTTGGGGTTTTTCATTTTGTTATGAATAGCATTTATTACTAATAAAAGTGAAAACACATGAATTTGCTACAACTAAAAATACAATATGATGGATTATTACATGATTCAACTGGAAACAATTGATTTTGATATCATGGATAGTGGAAATAATTGAATTACAGACGATTATTGAATTTTTGTTTGTAGAACATGTTACTGTACTGTTACTATTTATAGCTAAGAACATACTAATGGAGTTGCACACGGTATTCAAATTCATGCCACATACAAATCATCTCGAATACCTTTTTCAATAATTAAGTCTCTTGAAGCTGTAATCTACAGATGAGATTTGATCGTGACACGTTTCGCAACAACCAGCAAGAATTTATTTCTACCATAAGAGTAGGTGTACTGAGATACACACAATACATAGATTGGAGTGCTTATTAAATACAAGAAAGTACTCCTGAACTTTAATGACTCCTCCATCCTAACTCCACTGCATCTAGCGGATACTGCGGATATTCAAATTTAAGGATACTTTTCAGTTTATCTGATCTAATTTACCTAATCTGAAGTTGACAGTGATTGTTTTTTTAGACATTGGGTAGTGAAATGTGAAATCAAAAACCAAATGTATTTGTAACTCTCTGTAATGATCTCAGAACTATACAGGTCTTATCGTGTTTGATTCACTGCATCCAACTGATCTTCTTTGTTGATGCTGGCAGAAATTATTGCTATTACTTTTGTCAATAGGTTCCAAACATATCAACTTTTATATACATGTCATCAGTGCATGAAAATTGACAAACAAAAATCAAGAGCAATCGAGATGAATGAATCACAAACTTATTATTAACAAGATAAAGATGAGGTATAGGTTAGGTCAATATGTCATTGCCAAATAATTGTGTAATATTGTTGCATTGGAATGGTCTTAGTGGATATCGTAAAGTTCAACTATTCGTTTTCCTAAATTTTGTCCAATCATCCTTTCAATATCGTAGAGTTTGTGATAGTGAACTAATTTGAAGTACTACAAAGTAATGAAATAAAATGTTTCACTTAAACAGGCCCATTATCTTCTGAAGATGCTAACATAGTAGGCGAAACATGTTAAGGTAAAAAAATGGTTTAGCTAGCAACACAGTGTAGTATCTATCTTGATTGAGATGATCAAGGAACAAAACCAAAATATTTTTCATATTTGATGAGATATATTATGTATATCCGATAAAAGTGTGGATTCTAAATAAAACCATTTCATCATGCTATGAATCAGTATTGGTCTATTGACGACATGGATTGATTTTTCTCGAATACTTCAGAGTAGCGTATTTAGGATTTCAATATAAGTAGGGGCTTATGAAGCTTCTTCCTTCATGGGGCATGAACAGTGAAATGTCAGATAAAACGTCTCAATGTAAAAATGAGGACTTCTTTGAACGGTGTTACCTTTTTTTGATAAAAAAATGAGATGGCAGGCAAATTGTACAAGGAAACATTGTTCCGGAAGAAACTTTTCAAAAACAGCGTGAATAAAATATCTGGATGATTGTTATTTCTGGTCAGTATGCCAAAAAGCAATCATTTTATAGATAAATATGCAGTGCCAGTGGTTATTGTTAGGAATACATTTCACTTGAGGATTAAAGAAACGTGAGAATGGTGGGCTGAAAAAATTTGATTCGATGGGAACGGAGAACTAAAATTTGACGAGTGAAGGAATCCCTGTTCTACAATTCACTATTACTCGAGGTATACGTTTTATTAACTCCAGTTACATTGTTGATTGTTCGACAAGGCTCAGACGAGAGTCTAGAAGCAGTTGCGGACAAAAAAGAGTTCATATTATTTATTCATTGGTCTGGATATAATTCTAGAATTCAATCAACCCATTCAAAATATATTTTTTCATCATAGAATATTCACTTCTCCAAGAAATCAACGCACCACCAAAAAGTAGCCAATAGTTAGTAAGGAAACAACTACTTGTCCGATTTCAACGTTTTTTGTTTTGAATGACAGGTTATTTCCATCTGAACATTGGTGTGCAAACTGTATTTGCATAAGAACCCGTTTTTTATGAATACCGGGTGTAGCAATTATAGCGTGTTATTTTCATGAAATTTGTAATAACCAGTGGGGTGTAACACTTATGTTATCTAGTTGATATTGAAAGTACACTTTACCCTTATCTTTTTTTCGAGATTCCTTTTTTGTATTCACTCCGTTATCTTTTCTATTTCTCCAGAAACACAATTTCATAGCATAACATGATTTTATTGAATTCAATTGGTCCACGAAAGTAGCAGGCCCTGGTCTGGAAAGGCATTTCTTTCACTGGTCTTACAGCTGAAAGGTACATATCGGTGATTTTAGAACAACATGAAGTGTAAGGATTTTTGTTGATGCAAGATAATGCCAGGCCTCACGTCGCCCGAGTTGTGAGAAACTATCTAGAGGAAGTCTGTATCGCTACCATGGTATGGCCAGTTCGGGGCCCGGATTTAAATCACATTGAGAATATCTGGGACATTCTAGAGACAAGATCACAAGAGGAACTGACATTGAATACTTTGGAAAACGCACGGCAGAAACTGCTGATTAAAATTTGGGAAGAAATGGACCAACATAACATTAGGTCTCTTATTTTGGGTATAGGTGACGTCACCATAGTGAGGCCTACCTAACCAGCGGCTCGAAACGACAAGCGCTTAGGGCGCTATGAGGCGACCGCGTATTTCAATTTTAGTTTTAGATCATTATTGAGCCGATTTTGCTGTTTTTTTGAAGGGCTTCCGGTTAAAAAAGGATGCCAGTCGTCAACTGAGTCCTTCTTCGCATCCCATTCCATTTTATTATGTAAAAACGAAGTTTCAAAGCAAAAACCAGAATAAAACACAAATACCTACCAACAGCAACCCAGTCGAATTAAATAATTTGGCAAAAAATGTAGTGTATCAATCTCATTAGAGGTAAACTTCACACCTACTTATAGAGGGCCCGCAGAACATAAACTTATCGTGAGATTGATCGAAAGGAAATTGTGGAAAATGTTTATTATTTTGATAGACATGCCGTTTGTTATAATTACCTATATTCATCTTGGAGAATTCCTATTACCTAAAAAATGAGCCAGTGAGTGTTTTCAATCTCCTGTTGTTGGATTTTTTACCCAATTGATGGTTCGACTTGAAACAGTAATTTTTAAGTAGAGTGTTTGTAGTACATGTTAATATGATAGTTGCAATTTCATCATTGGAATGAACGAGGCAAATGACCGTTTTCAGAAAGAAATTTGAGAATGTATTGAGTTAAAAATGCCCGTTTATTATGAACATTCAATGATATTTCCTCGAATTCAGAGATGATTTTGTTGAATATAATATACGAATACAAAACCAACTGCACAATCAAAGCTTTTCTCTTTTTCCTCTACTCATACTTTTTATGAGAGAGTAATTGTCTTCTATTATTATTAATCATTATAAATTAAGTTCTGTTTACTACTGTACTTAGATGGAGTAAAATCCTCGCGGTGAATTGCATATACCCACTTGTTCGATAGTTCCGTGTCCAGCGGGAAACTAAAAGCATGAACTTTTGGACCACCCACACAAAAAAACGTCCAAATCAAACAAGTACTTTTGACGAAAATGTTTCTTGAACTTTTGGCCACTTTTTGGTGGTTCGTTAATTTCTTGAAGTAGTGTATGGAATCTTATTGAAATGATAGTCAATCAATGGAAAAACTACAATGTAATCTTGTCTCATATTTTCTTGGTGGTGCTACTACATTACAACGTAAACCTAAACATGACGTGAAGATTTGTCGCTGTCTGTATGACTATATGTATTATGTAGATGTTTTTTTGGGGAAACTATTTTGAAAAGAAACAATACTAAAGGAGTTGATGGTTTTAGAGCCAAGCTAATTGAATGATAAAACATCACATATCTTCAGTAGGAGCACAGTTGTATACTATTTCTGTGGTTAATTTTTTTTTTTTCAATTTTTCCAAATCTGCATAGTTTCTTCAGTTTTCAAAAAAGGAATTCGATTGAAAGAAACCAATCAGACCTGTTGCTTTATCACCGACTATGTCTAAAATACTCAATAATCAATGTCATCCCTGCTGAGGAAGGATATTACTCTATAAATCAATATGGATTCATGAAGAATCGAGGAACTAATATTCCACTGTTTGAGTCAACGAATGAGGTAATGGGTTGTATGAACTAAAATGAAAAAGTGGAAAATGTCATTGAACAAATATAAAATTGCTTCCTTCAAACACCGCGTGATTAATATCAACATACAGAAAATTATTTAGTAGGTTGCCCCCACCAAAAGGAGTATAAAAAATGAGGCATTGAAAAAATATTAACAAAGAGATATATTAATGAAATCAGCTCTCGAAAATGTGCGTGAAAACGAGGATAATCATGAAAATAAGATAGCAAACTATTGATTCAGTTGGATTTATGCAGTGAATTCATCCTCATTGTCTGTTTTGGTGTCATCATATTCGTGATGAGTAAGGTGTGCCAGCTACTG